CAGGGACGGCACCTTCTGGGTGCTTCAGCCCAGCGCCCAGCAAAGCTGCCACAGGACATCCTGGGGCACCTACAACCTGCCAGAGCAAAGGGGGCGCGTGGAACCTCCGTGGCTGGGAACAGCAAAGTGCAGCCGAAGGAAAAGAGCTGACAGAGGTTGACCCCATGGCCAACGAGGAAGAGGAAGCCATGGACGTCAACCCCATGGGCTATGAGGAAGAGGATGCCATGGAGATCGACCCCGTGGCCTATGATGAGGAGGAGGCCATGGAGGTCGACCCCGTGGCCTATGATGAGGAGGAGGCCATGGAGGTCGACCCCGTGGCCTATGATGAGGAGGAGGCCATGGAGGTCGACCCCGTGGCCTATGATGAGGAGGAGGCCATGGAGGTCGACCCCGTGGCCTATGATGAGGAGGAGGCCATGGAGGTCGACCCCGTGGCCTATGATGAGGAGGAGGCCATGGAGGTCGACCCCGTGGCCTATGATGAGGAGGAGGCCATGGAGGTCGACCCCGTGGCCTATGATGAGGAGGAGGCCATGGAGGTCGACCCCGTGGCCTATGATGAGGAGGAGGCCATGGAGGTCGACCCCGTGGCCTATGATGAGGAGGAGGCCATGGAGGTCGACCCCGTGGCCTATGATGAGGAGGAGGCCATGGAGGTCGACCCCGTGGCCTATGATGAGGAGGAGGCCATGGAGGTCGACCCCGTGGCCTATGATGAGGAGGAGGCCATGGAGGTCGACCCCGTGGCCTATGATGAGGAGGAGGCCATGGAGGTCGACCCCGTGGCCTATGATGAGGAGGAGGCCATGGAGGTCGACCCCGTGGCCTATGATGAGGAGGAGGCCATGGAGGTCGACCCCGTGGCCTATGATGAGGAGGAGGCCATGGAGGTCGACCCCGTGGCCTATGAGGAAAAGGATGCCATGGAGATCGACCCCGTGGCCTATGAGGAGGAGGAGGCCATGGAGGTCGACCCCGTGGCCTATGAGGAAGAGGAGGCCATGGAGGTTGACTCCATGGCTGATGATGAGGAGGAGGCCATGGCCGTCGACTCTGTGGCTGATGATGAGGAAGTGGAGACCACAGAGTTCGATCATGATCATGCTGATGATGAGGACAAGGCCATGGAGGTCGACTCTGTGGCCAATGAGGAAGAGGAGGCCCGTGGCTGTGGCCGATGATGAGGGAGAGAAGGTCATGGAGGTCTACTCAATTCCAGCAAGCTGGCCTCCAATGCTGCTTCCAGCCTGTGCCTGAGAAAGGGATCCCCCTGTACTACGGGGGTCTGATTTCATGACTCTAGGATTCTTAATTTCTACTTTGTTGCAGACTGAAATGGAAATGAAGTCTTATCTAGTCAAATTCTTTGTTCTCCACCATAAATTGGAAGCAGTATCGCCCTCTTCATCACAGGAAATTTTAATTTATTACTATATGTGCGATTATAGAAGTGCACAGATACATCATATGGGATTGTTTGCCTTGAGAATGGTTTGAGCATAAAACCAAAAAATATACTATTTTTAGGGGTTCTGTTAAATAACACCTTTGTAGACCAAAAATGTTTCCTTTAATTCATGCTCGGGAGACCAAGAATCGGATGATGATACGCAAGATTAACATGAGGCTCAGTCCATATAAACTAACTTCTGCTGTCTCACTGCTGATACAAAAATATTTTTTTCACCTTTGCTCAGTACTTATTTATATTTAGAATACTCAAACTCTCATATTCTTATTTAAAGTTACTTACTTCCTCTAAGATGTACATTAATAAACTGACAATAGGACAAAACAGATCAAAGAATATCTGAGTGTGCTTTATTTCTATTAGTTTATATGAAAGCGTTATCAATGTTATCTATAGATCCTTAACAATGCCAAGTTCATGATCATTATAAAATCGTTATGATCGTTATAAACAACCTCATCTAAATTATCTATCATGAGCGCTGGGGAACATCAGAAGTGTCTTAGTGTTGGAAGTCACTTTGGATTTGGTGTACCTGCATTTCAGATGATGGAAATACAATGAATCTTGTTTAAAATATTTTATAATATAACTCTAAAAATGATCCTGCAGACCATGCTCCCATCTGTATGCTTCTCAGACTACAGCAGAATGAAGGAACACAAGTCAAAGTCACATAACTATCATACGTATTGATACCAGTTTACAATCACATCCCCATACATACTCCAACTCACCATCCCCAGCTTAGAAGAGGAAATATTAACAGTAATTATTCTGTAGTAATTTTTTTTCCTCTTCACAGTTTGGGAGGACTATAATAACAACCTGGAGCACTGCAGAGCTGAAACTCTGGGTGATGATACAGGGGGTTGACTGTACTCCTGCATAGTGAAGGATCTGAGTATCAGAGGTTTTATAAGAAGGTGCGAGGAAAATCTATTTAAGACTACTTTCAAGTACCTTTTCAGACGCATCTCCGCAGGCTGGGATATGAAAGGCCAGCGTGCAAAAGGGAAGGGAGCTAGGAAAGGCAGGCCAGGAGACCAGGTATCTCGGCAGCATGCTGCATCATGCGGGATCCCCTGCCGTCACCTCCACGTCACCTCGCTGCTGCACATGGAGATTTCTCATCATTTGTCTTGACTCTGTGTTTGCATTAATGCCCTCAGCAATTGCACACAGGATGGCATCAGGCTAAGAAAGGCTCTAAGTCATTCAAGTTTGTATCAGAATTTTAAAGCATTTTGAAAATCAATTTTATCATATTTAGAGATGAATGGAAAATACTATACTTGTGAAAGAGAACTGAAACACACACAATCAAATGGTAGAACAACTAACTACACAACAATAAAGAGGATATATTGGATCTCAGAGCTTGAACACAAACAGTGAGAAGGAAAAAACACCTCACTCTTATGTGTCACAAGCAATTCACAGTGCTTTATTCCTCTCATCTGCTGGTGCTGTTGAGGCCTCCAAGGGGAACACTACCTGCTTTTGGATATAGTATTTTGAAAGAAATTACACACCTTGGAGAGTGTGCAGACTGGAAGAAAAGGAAAGGAAAGAGACTGGGAGAATCTAAGCTTGCAATAACGATTGGTTGTTTGCTAGACTAAAAACAGTCTGTCAAGTTATACAGGGAAAGGTATTCACACATTCTGAGGCCATCATAGTTACTAAAAAGCTAAAATTCTCCTCAAGACCCCTTCCCCCTCCATTCTGGTTGTCATACACACATCTGTAAGTCAATGAAATGGGCTCATAATTGGAAGTAATCTTATCACTTAGTTGTGGCATGAAAATGTTGCTCTCTCTGCAAATGTGTGCAGAATAGGCTACAACGCAATTAAAGAAACCGGAGTGAAAATTTATAAAAATCTCTACCAAATTTTTTATAACAGATGCATTTGCTGGAAAAGTCATTATTCACTGAATGCAGTTAAAAGTATAGTAAATTAACTTTGAGAAAAATCACAAGACTTTTCAATAAAAAAAGAAAATAGCAACACTCTTAAGACAGCAGGGGGTAAAACGAGATACAGGAATGTTCCCCCATATAAAGAAATAAAACAAAACAGAGCTGTGTGATTTTACTGCTCTTTTCCAGCAGAAAAACATCCCTAAAGGACTCAGAAAATAGGCTCCTAAATTCGCTCATATGGAGTACCAGAGATTGAAAGAGAAACTTTAAAATACATTACTCAGAAAAACTAGAAAAGGCATAGTGCTAAGCCTTAAAGAGCAGGTTTTTTGCTTGAGAGTATCAATGAAATTTGGGGGAAAGCTGTGACATAGGGTGGACCACCAACTGCTACAGGATATTTCATTAAATCAGGCAGTTTACATCTGAGCAATTTGCTCCTGAATACTTAGTGGGACATCCTTCAAAAGCACTAAGAACTTGTCAGTGGGGTGTACAAACCCAAGTCACTTTGAAAGAAGGGACTATGGGTTTTTAAAATACCACCCATAGGAAAAATTTCAAAAGTCTCTTGTGAAAACTGGAGGTAAAAGCCTGAAGAGCCTACTGGGAGGTAATGGCTGCTGGATACCTCTGGAAAGCCGTATCCACTATTTTTATCATAAGCAATTCTAATTCACGCTCTCAGCTGAGGTGACTGACAGGATGAATGACCAACTGGCACTTCTGCCAGCAACAGATAAGGCAGTGCCAGCTCAGAAGGGAAGTTTGTTCATCTGTGCTGATGCCTTTTGTCACGTACAAATTCAACTAGAAGGAAGAGAGCAATGAAGTACGGGCCTCAGTCATATTTCCACAGTCAGGGAGCGATCTGCAGCTGAGCACCCCATTTCAGTACCTCATGATTAAGAACTAGACCCAGCTCAGAGACACTCTTCTGCAAGGTCCTCGCTCTGTTCCACCGATGCCTGTGCAGCTCCCTGCCCCTGAATCCTCTGCTGTGCCAGTGGAAACTGCTTGCCTACAACTGGCAAAGTCTCACTAAACCAGAGATCATCTTTTCTGGACTAGATCACTACATTATTCCACAACTAGACCAGGAGCAATAGCTGGATTGTAAAATGAAGATGTGAGGAGTTACATCCAGAATCTGAACAAATGCACCCGTAAGTATTAAAGACAGTTTGGGCATTCACACGATAGTTACAAAACGGCCTTGTCCATCGCGGAAGAGAGGGCAGGCGATGGAGGCCGGAAGCCTCCCCCACCTTTGCTCAGTTCACAGTGTCACAGCACAGACCGGCACGTAGGGCTGTACTCCAGTGCTGCAAAGGCATCTGAAGTGATGCTGAAAGAGTAATAACCCCGTGCAATGCTATCAGTAGTCCTTCCCGGAGGTTAACAGCGGGAGGCAAGTAGGTTGAGGCGTTTACAAAAGGAGACTGTGAAAGGCAGAATCAACAGCAGAGTTGGCCTTTTAGTCAGCATTTGCTTTCAGCAGTTACATTATCAGAAAAGAATGAGAGAGGTGTGAGAGAAGCCCGGGGAGGAAGGAGAAGGGAGAACTGTGAAAAGAGAAGACAAAACACCTACCTGACAGGTGCTCCCCGGGACTGAGCGGGCTTCAGCATAACGGTGATGGTAGTGTCAGTCTCATTCAGGGGGGAGTCCGTGTCGTATTCTGGCATCGATGGTGCTACAGCAGAACAAAGAGCAACACATTAGTTATACACCAGTTACTGCCTTTGGTAGTGTTGACAACGGAGTATTAACATTTCTTGGAGACCGTTTAACATTTCTCACATCAAACATCAAAATATATCCCAATGTTATGACCAAAACTGTCAAAACTGCTTAAATATTTGTACACTCTTTTCCTATTAAACAGGAATTGGACACCCAAATCTTCAAGCTAGCTTTGAAAATCCTGTCTCGAATTTTTAAGACTTAGTAATCCTGTGAGATAGAATCACTCCTTCAATTTCAAAGGTGAAGAAAGAAAATTGCATGGTCATTATAAAAGACCACTTAGGTTGAGTGAATCGGTAGCAAAGCTAAGAATAGCACCCAGGAAACCTGGCTCTTGTTCACTGTTCTGGTCATCAGATTAGACCTCCTACATCTTAGATTTTTAATACATAGACTTAAGCTGTGTCTCCTTGATCAGTTTGAGGTTGCATTATGAAGCATGAAAGAAGAAAAGAGAGCACTAATGCCAGGTTATTTTAGCACGCAAACCCATGACATTTCACCCCAGTGCTTTAGTGATATTGAATCAACAGGCAGCTGCACGGCTCCCACCAGCACACTTGGGCAGTATCCAGCCTGGTATCCCCATTGCTTTGCTGACATGTTCCCCAAAGCAATACAGGACACCACTGAATATTCACACCTACCCATAGTCTAGTTTCTACTTCTGCTTTGTTATCTGCTATTAAGATCACTTCATGACAGCAGGATAGTCACATTACTTCTTCCTTCCCCAATAGCAGACATCTGTTTGGGACAATTTTACTGTGCAAGAACTGAAAAGATCACGAGATCAAGCCAGCATGAAATTTATTCCAAAGATGCAAGTTTTGTTGAAATATCTTTAAAGTAGAAAGCAAACAAAAGAATTCATACAAATAGTTCACCTGTAACTCACAAGGGCAAGCTGAATTGCAGGGGAACCCATATTTAATCCTCTCACAGTGATTTCTACTGCAACCCTGTTTACAATTGGGATTTTCATCTAAATGCCTGTCAAGAATGGTGGTTGCTATTATCAGCTCAGCCACTGACTTCCCTGTCAATAAGCTGGCAATGAATCAGACTGAATGCCAATTCCTTAACGAGGATTTCTCTGAAAAAGGTACTCTGCACCAAGGGGAAGCAGTGTGAGTCATTTAAAGAAAATGCATGTCACCAGCTGTCTTCTATACAAGAGATCACTCTAGTTGCTGGAGATGCCACAGCAAGACTTGTTCAGTACCTGTTCTGGCCAGAGGGGGATGGTGCTAAGCACAACACAGTACTACAAAAAGGTTGCAAGGCCAGTTTGGACACCAGAAACAGGCCGGACTCTGCCTTTGCAGGCTCCATCATCCTCCTTCAAAGCATCTTCTTCTAGCCTAGCTGCAGCACTGCACTGGTGCCACTACATCGTTTCTGATATGTTGGCTAGCTTGGATATCTCCTCCTGGCTGTGCATGAGACCTCTTTAGTTACCTTCTATGTAAAAAACTGCACCTGCCACAGAGAATTTGTAATTTTTCTTTCAGACACCATATAGTTAAGAAGAAAATGCAAGAAACGTAGATCTTGACAGGACTAGCTAATGGTACTGAGTATAATTCAGTGATCAGAGTCTGTATTAGTCACAAGGTGCTGAAATAAGATATAGTGCTTTCTTGCGTACTCAACACAGAACAGTTGTGCAGTTCTGTGCTCGATAAAACTACAATTTGCAGTGATATCTCTAAAATAGCAAACACTACTAATCAATTTAATGCCTACTTTGCAAGACCCCAGTCCTGCCCAAAGAGAAGTCCTCAGGAATTCTGCCTTTTAACTGTGATTGAGACCCGAGCAGATGTGTCCACTCATATAAACACATACTCACACATTGCTACAGCACAGGTGGCTTTTCATTTAAAAAATTATGAAGTCTAATAGGGACATGACAGTCAATGCAAAAATCCTTCTTCTCACTACTAACCTTGGGACTGTCTCTTAGAGCAAGTTTAATAATAATTTCCAAATTACACATATAGGACTGACCATGCAACAAGATAATCTAATGTCAGAGACTACCCCAGTGCCTGCATGGAGTCTGTACCTACCTATTGCGAACCAGATCCTTGGAAGATGGAAAGAAAAAGAAAAAAGGCGATAACCCAAGCTCAGTGTGCCTACAGTTAATAATCATGCACGCTTCTAACACAATTTGGGCACTCACTGAATAATAAAATAAAAAGAAACTGAATCAGAGGGAAAAATCACTACCATTACTGTGCTATTTCATTTTTCTGGTCACAAGTGAGCAGCGTGCATGCTGTGCCTTCCCTTCCCAGCAGGGCTGCAGAAACCCCAACAGTCCATGGAGCTGTTAGGACAGCTAATGGCTTTACTTCAAGTGGCTGAGACATGGGCTTTTGCACTAAATGTTAAGGGTTCAAACCATTTTGATGGTTAGTGGAGGGAATGGATACATTTTACTTCTTTAAAATTTACACTGTCACTTACTGCTAACAACATTTTTATTAACCAATTTTGAAATCGGGCAATGGAAAATATGCACTGTTGTGTACACTCTTCTATGGCACCCAGACATAATTTCAAGTGTCCTGAATGTTCCAAATGTTTATTTTGGCTTTCCTGAAAAAAACAGTTCAGTTATTCCAAAAAATGACAGCTTTAAACTCTGTTAGAGAACCTATTTCAGTGCTATCAATTAAATGTTAAAGTTTACATATATCTGCCCAATATAATCTCTACCACATCTTCATCCATCTTTTTTTGATAGCTAGCCCGTTTCCTTTTTTTTTCCTAGAGACACATGCGCCTTCTCTTTGCAATACCTCCTGATTTTAGTGCCTTTCATACACTTGTCTGCCTACCTCAAGCACTCCCTCTGTGCTTACTCAGAAAGAAAACATAAAAAACAGCTTTCCTCTATTTTTAGTCTCCTTGCACTATTAATTCAATTACTTCATTACATCCATTTTGGTGCATTCTGAAAATAAAAGCCACATTACTGAAGGAGCTTCCCCAGCCACACAGATAATACGAACAATTACTGTAGGGATACTTCAATTGTAGAACTAATGAAGGTTCTCATTTAAAATGTTCCACAAAGCTATTCATGGATATTTAAGATATCCACAAATTAACCACTGCATTTGTAACTTGAACAAACTTGATTGTGGCCATTTTAAAAATTTGCCTTACAAAACTTGTAGAGAGACACTAAGCTGAAGACCTTTTTATTGTTTTATGCATCATCTCTGGGTGTAAAGAACAAAGCCCTAGAAAGCTCTTTTTTTCTTTTTCTCCAAAGCAGTACCTGAAATCTTAGTTGCAATCCTTGTTGTGATGGGTGGCCCAAAACCCTTGACTGTGCTGGCTTTGATGGTGAATGAATACGTAGTCCCTGGGTATAATCCTACAAAGAGGTGATGTGTTTCATTCCTTAGTTTGAAGACTTTCCCTCTTTGGCTGGACAGCTCAGCACTGGGATCCAGAGACCCAACGGCCTTGTACGTAATCTGCAAATGAAGAAAAAGGAAAATAAGGTCATAAGGGCACCTGGCCTTTCTCTACTCCCCTCTTCTGCCATCTCTTGAGACCAGACATTGAAAATACAAGGACAAATATTATTTCAGTAACTCCAGCGAACAGTTCTGTTACTGGATGTCGTCAAATAAACAGAACAATTTTTCCAAGGCTTTACTTAGGACAAAACTAATTACTTCTCTCAACTAAAACCACAGCATGTGCTGATTTGCAACAAAAGATGCAAAGAATTGCTTTTTGTTCCAAATCTCAGAATTTCTGCAGCCAAGCCAAAGCACACAGCACAACCAGCAGAATTTTCATGAGAATTTCCCATACAATACCCCCACAGCATACGAAAACTTTTGGTGCAAACATGGATAAATATTCCATCAAGTTGATTTTTTTTCTTCTGTTAAATGGTCTTCTCATAAGGCCACTGAAAACAATGGAAGCCTTTTACTGACAACAAAGGTTTTGGAAATCTTTTCATGTGTTACAGAAAAAATGCTGAAATGAAATGGTATGTTTAAATGAAATAAATATCATCAGGTCTTTAGACAAAAGCCCTTTTCTTCTCTAAGCTTGTAAACCAGTTTCTGATGTCATTTTCCTGTCCCTGTTTTGAGCCTCAGTTTGCACACACGTGGTTCCATGCCAGGTTTTTGTGGAAGAGAGTAAGTCAGCTACAGACCTAGAGAGCTGTTCAGGAATATCCCTACTGCTGGTGCCAATGCACCTTCAGAGGCATCCAAGCTGAAAGCACACCTCAGAAATTCTGCTTGAGCACCATTCTGCTTATCCATGGCAATTCTGTTGATATACAGACACTTGCAAGTAAAACTCATGACTTATTTACCAGCCAATTCCTTGCCTGCGTTCCAAATTCAATCCAAAGGCAGCTCAATTTCAACTAAGCTGTCAATATAATGTAACGTGCTCCACTGCTCTCCTAACCTTTCCTGATATTATGAGATCCTTCCTTATTTGTAATGAAACACTATGAATAAATCAATGTATGTTAATACACGAAGTCTTCAATTTTTTATGGACTCCACAAGAATCTAATTCCCAGCTTTGCTGAAAGAGCCTTTGAAAATTTTTAAGTCGCTTGCTTTATGACAGAAGGAAAATGTTGCATTTTGAGGAAAAATAAATATACAGTGTTTAAAAAGGGGATCTTTAATAATATCAGGATAAATAAGAGACATAGACTGATGCTACTGACACCAGAGAAGGGGGTGAGCATGTGATTCCTACTATTTGGATAGAGAAGAACAATTTAGACAGAGGTGACACCCAAGATGAGGCAGCATAACAGAGAAGGGCTGTGAATTACACCAGACCCACAGAACAGCAAGAACTGCAAAACCAGAACACTTAAAGGAATTATAATTAAACAGCTTGCGGGTGATTTGACTGAAAACCTACGGATTTTTCCAGGAATTACAACCTGGTTTTAAATTTTTATTACTTGCCAGAAACATGAGAAAGAGAGAGATCTTAGCACAACAGTCATTTAAACAAAAAAAAATGCAGGAAGGAGAAATCTTTACACTTGCTTCTTTTCCTTCGGTAAGGTGAGGACCATGCAAAGCATCATGGCATGGGACAGTATTTTGACAGTTCCTACTGCATCAAGGTACTCTGAGGCAAGGGAATCTGTGTAAAAACACCATCAGAGATAGAGTGAGCATCAAAGACCTTAAACCCAGTTAATGCCATAGCCAAATCCAGAAACAAAAGTGTATTTAATCTGTTATGTAGGAATGAACCGATGCAATCTATATGCTCTATCTGCAAATCAAGTGCTAGAGAAATAGCAATTCTATAACATTCCAAAGAGGAATCAGCAAAATAGGAATTTAGGGAAAAAGAAAGGGAACTTCCTATTGTTGGGCCACTGAAAACAACATTCACAGGATACTCAGGTACTAGCCTATGCAAAATCAGTGGTATTTGTTTTCAAGCACATTATACAAAAGGCTATAAATACAAATGGAAGATGCACCTGTCCATGAACTCCACATAAATAAAAGTATTCAGCTACCTTCACGAGTTCTAAAATCACTACAAAAAGAGGTGGGGTTTTTTTCATTAAGAAAACTATCCCCTTAAGGCAAATAGAGCTAGAAAAGCTTTCAAGAGAGAGAAAAAAAGAAGTCACTGATTTTAAAAATAACAGTTTTTATTTTTTCTGTTGACTATAGCACAGAATATGTGTACAAGGGACCTTAAAACACCCTGGGTCAACTCACAAAAAGCAGGGAAGGAGAAAACTACTTGAGAGAGAGGATATCCACTATTTGAGATTGTCGTATGGGTCAGTTTTCAGAAAGACTACTCCCTCAAATCAGACTTCAGTAAAAACTTTTTTTTTAGGATATATAAACTACAGTAAAGAGATTCATTGCATAGCCAAATTGCAAGATTATTGTTTCTGCAGCAGACTCATGTATTCCAACAGACATGAACCCCGATCAAGCAGGTGACGTGCAGACATTCAGAGGAAGCAATACTTGTCCCCAAAACATAACATTTAATATACGAGCAGTACCTGGATGCAACATAGAGAATAGCAAAACAATAGTACTGTGCATGTGGTCCAGTTTCATTCAGTCCATAAGCAGCAATATTTAAGGGACTGTAAGAGAAATAGTGCCCACAGATACAGCTAGTTACTAGCTTATTATTCTCATCTGAGTTAGTCTCGAACTCTTCTCTGCTTTCCACAAGAGCTCTGAGTGACTGAAGTGGTGAGGAAACTCTATACAGACACTGCCAGGAGAGTCTATGGGCGCTGTGCCCACTTCTGCTGATGACTTCCATCATGACCACGATAAGCTGAAGATCTCCAAGTCCCCATTTTGTCATTTATAAAATGAGGGCTATTACACTCTACTATGAAAAAATTTCTGTGGTTGAAGGATTCTATGGATTTCTGTAATTTGCTGACAGTTAAGCAGCAAAACCAAGGTGAAACAGATGAGGTAGCGCTGAAAACAGAGCTTTCTATTCAGAAAAGGAGGCAAATTCTCCTCCAGCTCAGAAAACAAAATAAAATAATAATTTTTCTCTTCCAAGTGAGATACCTGCTATTTATTAGGTATTAGTGCTACCCCAAGTGTGGATTAACATCTGAGAGCTCTGTCTCAGTCTGTTCCTCTATGAGCCTCCCAGTACAGCTAAAGCATCTGCAGCTTCAGGCAGAGCAATAGCTGTTCTGCCAGAAGAGCCTCCCAGGGCACGGGCTGGCTGCTCCCCGCTGAGCCACCACACACCCCTACTGCCCAAGCCAAGGCTGCCCAGCCAGCTCTGCTGCAGTTCCCACGGCCAGCATCATCCCCAGGTACTGATGTTGGTATTTCCTCACTGGAATATCTGTAAAGTTCCACACTGTATGCATTTGCGTGTATGCGTGTCTCTGTGTCAGAAGATTTCTCCTATAGCAAGAAAAGATGCTGTAATGTATCACTTATATGTTGGTTTTCATGTATAAATGTATCAAATTATAATCAGGTGAAATGATGACACCAATAAGTTGTCACTCTTCTCCTTAATTGATTTAAACTAAAATTTCTGAAGCAGAGAAATTTCAGGGAATCACACACTGAAAAATGTTCAAGGAGAAACTATGGAAATTTCCAACTCTGGAGTAAATTATAAAAGCGCAGAGACACATCTGGAGAAGAAATATGGCACTTTCTGGGAATAAAATGGATACCGAAAAAAACACCTGCTCTTCTCGTTGGTATGCTGAGTATTTATCTTAATTTCTTCTTCCAAGTGTCAAACCATTTCATTACAAAACAAACAAGAGATTCTAATCTAGAAAATGAGATGACTCAATCACTAGAAAGCAGCTGTTCTAAATTATTTTAAAATAATCTATTTTAAAGACAAGCCATGTCATGTAATACATCTGTATTCTGAAAAAAAAAAAAAAAGAAACAATAATATTAATTTAAACATTTAAAAACCTAGACAGAAAACAAACAAGAAAATACTCAAAAATATATTTAAGGATTTCAGTCTGATTGAAAATATTTGTTTTTATTCTGATGCAGAATAAATGCAAATACAAAGATGAGGAAACTTCTCACAAGACTGAAACTCTATGTTTTTTAACCAGCTCCCTGGTTATCTCCTGCACAGCAGGCACTTGTCGTAAGTTGAAAGCTGTCTTTCCTCTCCAAACTGGAACAGCTGTCCAGAGTTTGCATATGTAATGTAGAGATTACATATCGTCTCCAGGGCAACTGGATGGTCCCAAGAAAAAGTTTAGTGGCCAACACTGCTATGGTTCTAATCAGAGCAAAAAGTGGTGCAGGCTAAAATACATCAAACCCAAGAAATATACATTAATAAATCCTAAATCTTCCTTGGACTCTCCTTCACTGAGTTAATGAAACGGTTCTCAAACTGAAGCAACAACAACAATAAATTTGAGGTAATCAGGAAGTCAGAAGGAACTCGGAAGGATAAAGAACTGCCATATTCCCACCATCACAGGAGGAATGAAACACTGAGCCTAGCATCCATCCACCTGGACAGAAATTATTTACTCAGGACATGCACAGATGATTCAAGTCCCCAGTCAACTGTGCAAAATTTGGCTACACAAGTCCAAATTCTTTGTAAAATGTAAAACATGTCAACAGTTTACTGTCAAGTCTACTGGAAACTACCAAAAAAGGCTTTATATATTTAACTTCCAAGTATTCAGTGACATACAATTGCTGGGATAGATGATGGAGAATAAAATAACAACAGATCAGCATAAGCGATGGGATGGTCAGTGAGTTCAGTCCTTGTTGTTATTTAAACAGAAATGCAATCTACACCAGTGCACTCTCAGCGCCCACTAACAAGAAGCACCCCCTCTTATTCCATCCTCCCCTCTGTTTTTTAACCATTTTAAAAATTTGGAATATTAACTCCTTGAAATCACTGAGAAAATACTACGCTAAAAACCATGAAGATAAAGATATAA